AATATGTTAATTTTTTTCTGCGTTGAAATTATTAATATATTATATAATCTTAGAGTTTCATAGAAGATTGTTGTATCTTTACAATCTACCAAACTCCTTTTCATCTGTATCGCAGTAAATATGTAAAAGTACAAGTCGAATAAATATTCATTCTTGCTGAAACGCTAGTATATTTGTCATAATATTGAAAAATAAATTGTGTATTATTGTTTTGATGGAAAAAAATAATTTTTAAGATACAACATGAAAGATATTGTTGATTTCTTGAAAGTTGATATTTATTTTATCATTGACACTAACTTCGACAAAATATGTTTGTCGAAGTTAAACTTCGACGAAACACATTGACGAAGTTATAACTTCGGCACGACATATATATGAGTGCTTTGCTTCATACGGAAATGTAGTCTGTAAAAGGGCACACTGACTAAAACTAATGAGTAGTTGAGTAAAAATAAGAAATTTGCTACACTTTCTTTATCCATTATTAGTATATATGTTTGTTAAAGATCCTTTTCTCTGTAACGAAACTTGATGTTTGTAAAAATCTTCGGTTCAATTCAGTCGAAATTCAATTTTATTCGAATTATTATCTTTCCTTTTCTTTTTTCTTTTACATATACATGTATTTTCATATATAAGAGAGAGGGAACTATATAAGTGAAAGACAAGGAGAGAGATGAATAAATATCCTCTACTCCAGCCTAGACTATTCTACATAAAGAATGCGACATCCAATGTGCTCTTTTATTAGAATGCCCTTACATTTAGAACAGAAGAAAAGAGTGATAATTTATTAAAATTGTCACGGCCAAATAGGAAAGTATAAGAGAAAAGAGGAAGAGAGAAATAATAGAAGAAAAGAATAAGAAATAAAGATGTATGTTAGAGCACTCTAACAAAGTTATATATATGAATGAAAATCGGTTCCGAATATTTAGAACCGAACCGATCCCATCACTGGAATACATATAGATCTTTAGAGGAAGACTTCTTCCATCAAATGATGTGTTTACAATCAAGTCTTATTACATATTATTGATATGTGAATAGGGATCACCAACTTCAACGCAACCTGCTATGAACAGGTCACAAGTGACGCCGTCTATTCGCATATGAACATTACGCGATTGAAGTTGATAATACATATATAGATTAATAGAGGAAGCTTTCCGCTACAATTGTATATATATACACCTCGTTTCGAAGTCAAACTCTTATGGTTGTCTTGAGCTCTACCAATTTATTATGTCTAATACGTGAAGCTCATATTTTTTTTTGACTTCAATGCAACTACACTGTAAAAAAAAAGGTACTTTGTGGAACCTGAAAAAAAGGTTCGGTAGATGACAAAACGTTTGCAAATGTGTTGAAAGTTTCAAAAAACGAATAAAAAAAAACCCAAGTGAAGATCCTTTTTTCTTCGAAACCTTTTTAAGTTTCGTACACCAAAAAAAGGGTTTTGTAGGAAAGTACGAAACCTTTAGAGTTTCGTATTGAACCTCGAGGTTTCGTACTGGGTTTCCTATAAAACTATTGTACTGGATGCGAAACTTTAAAGGTTTCGTACTTTCCTACAAAACCTTTTTTTTGGTGTACAAAACTTAAAAAGGTTTGGAAGAAAAAAGGATCTTCACTTGGGGGTACACGGTAAGATCCTTTAAAGGTTCCGGTTTTTTTTATTCGTTTTTTGAAACTTTCAACACATTTGCAAACTTTTTGTCATCTACCGAATCTTTTTTTGAGGTTCCAGAAAGTACCTTTTTTTTTACAGTGTAGCTACATAATTCAAACACCAGCCGCTCTTTAGATAGAAACCAAAATAATATAGCGAACGCTAGTATTGTAAATGTCTCGACAGTATGTTTCGGTCTGAAATCTATTTAAATATAAGCTTTTCACTGAGATTAACCTCAAGATGAACAACCAAAGTAAGTGTTAATAGATAAAAACTATTTATTTATATTGTTTAAATTAACCTCAAGTATACAATGAGCAGTAGGTATTTTTTGATAGAACTCATGGTTTTCTTTGTTTAGATCATGCTCCATATCAACATAAACAGTAAGTCGTTTCTTAGAAAAAATATTGTTTTTTTTTTATATTTAGGTCAAATATTAAGATGAAGATCAATAGTGATAATACAATAATCATTTATTTGTATTATTTAAATTAACTTCCACAATATAATGAGCAGTAAGTGTCTTTTGATAAAAGGGTGTGGGTGTGAGGTGTGAGTGTGGGTGTAGATCAAGAGCGATATACCCACACCCGCAACCACATCCACACCCACCCTAGCCACACCCACACCCACCCACACCCACACCCACACACACCCACACTCACACCCACACTCACCCTTTTCTAAATCTTTATTTCAGTTAGCTTTTGTTTATAATAATGTGAACATGTATGTGTGGAACAATTGAAAACATAATGTCATTGATAGATAGTTAATAAATTTCTTGTTCATTTAAATCATCGCCAGGAAGAGATACTAAATCCGATAAATCATAAAAATCTTCAAAATTGTCATTTTCCGGTATCCATTTCTTGTTTTTGGCATATTCGTGAGCACATCTGGCATCCCAGTTCAATAATCTTCTAAATGGATAAACATTTAAAGGCAAACTTAAGGCCTTTCCGTCAATATCTTTGAATTTTATATAATTTTTATATAAATTTTGATCATTTTTATCTAAAACCATAGTTTCCATAATACCACCATAACCTTTATGTAAGATTTTTAGTACCAATTCACCTTGAAATGGATTATAGATAAAGCATAATTCTTTTCGATCAAATGCTTGTTCAATACTTGTGTACATTAATAATCCATTCCTATAAGAGTTTAAATCACTGAAACGTAACCCAAATTCGGTTAAACCTGTACCATTCGTACAATATTTCCATATGGATATCCTTTCCATATATAACTAGCTCGAACAGCGTCACGATGAAAATACGCATTCAATACCATACATTTAATGGATCACAGTCATTGGATAATGATAAAGACGACAGCAATGAATTTTGAACAATACGAAACTCTGCTTATAGAGATTCGCCGATGTTCTTATGAAAGAGGAAGAGTAAATGAATCTAACCAGTTCTACTTAGAAACCCAACGGTTCTCTTCAGGACCAAGGGACGAAAGACTAACCGTCCAGAGTCCTAGGTGTGAGTGTATCTTTTTCTACTTGATTTACTCGCACCCACATCATCTTATTTGTTGTATGTATTACTGGATGTGGGTGTGGGTGTGTAGTTCTTTGCTTCATCCACACCCATCCCACACCCACACCCACACCCTCCAACTTGTAATCTTGCTCGAATAAAACAACCGTCTGTACATATTAATGATAAAATTGCATCTACATATAATATCTGTAGGGTGTGGGTAGATGTAGATGTATAGATGAAGAGAAGATTTATAGCCTTACGTAAACTCACACTCACACATCCATACTCGATAGATTACTTCATGGTTCTTGTAGAAACAACATGAATCAACGATCGTTTTATCAGACCAGAAGAAAAAGATTATTTTATTAGAAACGGTGAACATAAATAATCAAAACCAAAAATGAATCCATTTATTTTGATAGTCGAAAGCAAATGAGTCTGTTATCGGTGTATAAATATGTTCCATTAACCATTTGCGAAGAGTTTGATTTCCTTCGTCAGAAAGAGGACCTTTGATACAGAGATAAGCATGCTGTTGCTGTTCTTTCCAAATGTTCAAAGTTTGCCATACAAGCGAATCGATGAAGACGCTTGAATCTTTTACTGAGAGAACCAGATTACGAATAAGAGGAAATAGTTTAAAAATAGTATCCAATCGCAATTTATGAATATCACGTAGGCGAAAAATTTCAAGACATACTATGCGTTGTTGTAAAAGTTGATGCACCGCTTCATTGTCCATTATTCTACTGAAGGAATCGAAATCAACTGATAATTCATGAAGACTAGAAGCTGCATTGAGCAAATGAAATAATTCACATTTTCCTTCTACTTGAAGATATTTTAGTCGAGGTAAATGTAGAATTACAGGTTCAGTTAACTGCATCATAATAGCTAGAAAATAAAAAAATTGTTAGTAAATTCCTCAATAGAACAGATAATTTCTACCTGATGATTTTCAATAAAATTTGAAAACTAACTTGTGAAAAGATGCTTAATTCAGATTCTCATCAGAATGCTATTGACTATCAAAGGTATCGAAGCAAGACTACACACCGTACACCAATAATGCTTAGCAGTATATGCTGCTGTTATTTCTTTTTCTTTATTTCTTTTTTGATGATCCTTGCATTAAAAACGAAAACAATCGAATGAAAACAACAAAAAAAGAAGCAAAGAATGTTGTTCTCTCTTTCTCTCTTCTTCCATGATATACCTCTTTGTTTATT